AGACCTTTCTCCTTTCAAAGCTGGAGTGGAAAATGCTCAGTATCTCATGTATCCAGCCACATTCCCAACTCAGGCTTCAGGCTGGATCACGAAGGTCACAAGTCAAGAGGAGAGAAGTCACATTCTGAGCTTCTTTTGTCTTAAAAGCTCTTGTGTTCATCCAGGAGGGGCAGCTACAGGATTTCTCTCAGATTCATGTATTTACATAGACTGAGATGAGGAAAAAATGTGTTCTTGACACTCAGAGACTTCTTCTTGAGGGAAACCTGCTCCATTACTCCCATCCCCAACACTAACACCTTTTCCTCTTTCTTATCTGTCAAGCTGATAGATGACAATTTGCCCCAAGACATGTACACAGTGCAGGCCCTTGAACGTGCATACAACATCACCAGAGCGCAAATCATGCAAAGCCAGGCTGTCAGCGCAGACTATGAGAACAGCGGTTGGGACCGTGGCCATTTGAACCCCAATGGCCACCACAACACCCTGGCCAGCAGGAATGCGACCTTCACCCTCACCAACATAGTGCCCATGGACGAAAAACTCAACCGAAAAGCCTGGAAAAAGTACGAGCAGCAAACGATGCGCCAGAAAACCAAGAAGTGTCAAAATGACAAAATCTTCGTCATTGCGGGGGCTGTGCCTGGGAACTCCTCCATTGCCGGTGGGAGGGTTAATGTACCCAGCCACATCTGGTCTGGTGCCTGCTGCAAGACCAGGAACAACACTGTGAGTGCTTGGGCAGCCATTGCCAACAACAAGCACAACAGGATCTGGAAAATCTCTCTGGGGCACCTGGAGAAGAGGTTGGCCCAGCTGTATGGAATGCAAAATGTTTCTCTCTTCCACGATGACTGTCCCCGTACATAAGCCTCACATCCCGGGCGTTAAAGGCTCCGAGGCTTTTCCCACAGATCACAGAATCACAAAATGCTTTGAGTTGGAATGGACCTCAAAGGTCATCCAGTTCAAACCCCCCTGCAAAATAGCAGGGACACTTTCCACTAGACCAGGTTGCTCAGAGCCACGTCCAACCTGGCCTTGAACGCTTCCAGGGAAGGGGTAGACACAGTTTCTCTGGGCAACCTATGCCAGGGCCTCACCACCCTCACAGGGAAGGATTTCTCCCTGATAAGTAGTCTGCCAGTTTAAAGCCATTCCACCTTCTCCTGTCACTCCGTGCCTTTGTCCCTCTCCAACTGTCCTGGAGACCCTTTAGGTACTGGAATGGGATCTAAATTCTCCTAAGAGCCTTCTCCAGATGAACCCCCAGCTCTCTCACCCTGTCTCCAGAGCAGAGGTGATCCAGCTCTCAGAGTACCTTGGTGGCCTCCTCTGGACTCCACCCCAACAGGTTGGTGTCCTTCTCATGTTGTGGGCCCAGAGCTGGAGGCAGCACTGCAGGTGGGGTCTCATGAGAGCAGAGGAGAGGCGGACCAATGTCCTGTGCAGTGTCCATCCTGCTCCCTTCTCTGGTGGGTTTCCAGCTCTGTCCTTCAGAGCAACTCCTCCTCCTGCTCTAATAAAAGAGAGAAGGAGGTGGGCAGAGCCTCCAGCTGGTTTGCTTTGCTGCCCGTGCTGGCAGAGAGCTCTTAGGGATGAGTCCTTGCCCTGGCAGTCTGGAGGGAACAGGTGGAGAAGAGCCCATGGACAAGGAAATCAGAGCTTCTCAGTGAGACCAGAAGGGCTTTGCCTTGTTTCCCTTTTGCTCCATGCCCAGAAACAGGTCTCAGTTCCTTCCTCTCCTCATTAGCTGTCCCTCAGAATGTGCTGTCCCTCCCCTCCTTAGGAAAGCTGTGGGACGAGGGTGGCCCAGGTTGCCTACAGGTGTTGTGGAGTCTCCATTGCTGAAGATGCTCAAGCCCCAAGTGGACATGATCCTGGACAACCTGCTCTAGCTGAGCCTGTTTGACCAGGGCTCTGGACTAGGAGATCTTCAGAGGTCCCTCCAAACCTCAACAATGCAGTGATTCTGTGATGCTGGTAACCAGATTTTGTTTGCTTGCTTTTGAAACCTGCACCTTGCAGAAGCAGGAGCTGAGGTCTGAGATAGGCAGGCTCAGGCATCAGATCTACAGGAAGCTTTGACCAGTCAGAAATAAATTTCTCTGATAAACCGCTTGGATAACTTCATTCTCTGCTGTGCTTCTGAACCTTTTCTGCAGATTTATGGCTAAAGGATTTCATAAAATATATTCAGAGTATCCAATATAATCAATGTATTCAGTGTATTCAATGTGTCAATCGAAAGATCAGTGTGTGCCAGTTCATGTAGTTCCTGAGTAGTTCATAATAAAAATTATTTGCTCCAGTGCTGGATTGCAGGGTCATCTTACATATACACCACAAGTTGCTTCTTGCTGAAATTTCCACCACTGGTGATGTCACAATCCCCAGAGCATCCTTGCAGGAGGAGGGGTGTCCAAGTCCAAACTAAAGATGCCATCACATGTACTAAAGTGTCCCCATCAGACTGCAGTTACTCCTGCTGGGAATGTGCATGAACCAAGTGGATCAGGCTGCAAACAGCTCCTACAAGCTGTGTCACTTCCAGAGGTACCAGCTTGAGCCTCAACTTCTCAGCTCAGCAGCTGTTGTTCACCATCCTACAGTGTCTCATCTCTCACCCTGGACCTATGTCCTTGGGGGCTGTAAAACATCAGAAGAGGGGCTAATGTGTATGTCTCAAACCCCAATAGCTGAATGGCTGTGGACTCAGCCAAGGATTGCTGGTAATGACACACCACGAGAAAGAACAAGATGTGGCTGGAGAAGGGGCCATGTGGACATAGGGCAGCACAAATATCCTTGTTGGAGTTCCTGGAGATAAGCACAACACAGTACAGCCCATGTGTAGGAATGAGGCCCAGAAGTAAGCATGGATGGCAGGGGGAGAACAGGAACACCCAAGACCCCCAAAGCCCTCCGATCCCTTTCCAGAAAGGTCGGACAGAACAGACTGCACACAAAAACTGATTTGCTGTAGTGGGTTGACCCTGGCTGGATGCCTGGTACCCTCTAAAGCTGCTTTCTCACTCCCATCTCCAATGGGAAAGAGGAGAGAAATATAACAAAGGATTATGAGCTGAGATAAGTATCAGGACAGATCACTCACCGATCAGCGTCACGGGCAAAGCAGACTCCATGACTGGTGCAACCGGATGAGTCCATACTCATTGTCCATGGTATTTCCTGGTTACAGTGGCAGTTTCATTCAGCAACCAGTATTAGATATGCAATCCACCCTTACAGATGGTTCTCACCCAAAATCAAATCCCCCTGAGGTATGGATCGTGTTTCCCCCACTTTCCCCAAATGCACTCAGGTCCTTGAGCAAAATCAATCCCACGAGTGGGTTTGCCTCTGCCCGAGGCAGGACTAATCCAAACTGTCCTTCCTAATGCATTTCTCATAAGCACCACAGGGACTTTGTCTCCAGTACATAAGGGTTCTGATTGGGCAGGGTCAGCTCGACTGGTAGAGCCTCAGGTGTTGCAATGTTGTTCCATAGTCCGACTCCTTGGTCATGTGCATCTCCATGACATACTTTCACAGTCAACATCTCTTCCTGGGCAGTGATGTCTTCCCACAGTTCACCAGCCCAGATGGGTTTCCCTCTGCACTGCCAATCGGCCTTTGCCATCAGTTCAACCACCCTGAGAGACCATTTGCTACCATCCCTCCACGAGTCAGTGCAGGGATTGAGTGTTGGCCATTTCTATCATTCAGTGATATCTAAAGGCAGCTGGAGGGCTTCCAGTTCTGCAACCTGCCTTGGTGGTGTCCGTGGGTCTGTTTTCCTTCCCCTCCCTCTGAAGGTGCTGTACCCCAAGGGGCAGTGTCCAGTAGGCAGTAGCCAGGGCCCAGCACTTTGCATAATTTTGCATCTCTCTGGAATGGCCACAGTAGTTTTCTTTCAAATATTCTGCTCCTTTATGAGGGCCCTGCACCTGGGCAGGGGTGAACTTCAAAACCACAGGAGCAGAATACTCCTTCAAAAGCTGGTCCATTTTGTCCCACATTCCCTGCCACTCAGGGTTATTCATCCCTAGGGCAGGTCTCTGGACAACTTGCCAAGAAATCTTTGTCCTGTCTCTAAACATGATGTCAACTGTACAGAGGAGACATAGTAGAATTAGCAATAAGAATATGCTGTCCTTAATATCCAGAGGGAATTCATTGTTCTCAAAAACTGTTGTAGCAGACCTGAAGGAAGAGAAGGGGGTGAAAGGCTGGGAAAAATTGTCCTCTCCTGTTCTCCCCACAGACTGGGGGAGATGGTTAATAAATCCCTAGAGGCAGCAGTCAAGGTCAGGGCAGGAGAACAACACTGAATACACATCCCCAATGACCCCTATTACCTTTGATTTTATAATGCCATGGACTGTCATCACAGGTGACCTGACTAAAGCAATCCTGACTCCAATGCCTGCTGTGGAAAAAAACACTGTGAGGAACACACAGTTGCAGGGAAAGGTTGGATCCCAAGGAGAAGAGTCAGCCCAGAGGACGCATAAACTTTGGACTTGCTCAGTTGCATCCATGTGCTGGCCCTTGGTCTAGCAGGAGGTCTGACTCTGAGCGAGTCACCTGCACAAGGAGCTTTTGACTGCACTGCTCAGGAACCAGAATTTGAATCTAGCCCATGACTAGTTTAGCCTGAGCTCATCTTCATGCCAGGTGATCTTTGGTACCAGCAGCTATCTGGGGATTGAGTAACACTTGGAGCACAGCTCTAACCCCAGCCAACCCTGCCAAGCAGTAGGAGAAATAATCTCTGATCCTCACCGCCTATTGTCTTTTACAAGCACATCAAACACCTGGATGTGAGATCATTAAGACAGAATTGCATGCAGTGCACACTTCCCGTCTGTTCTTGCTACATTGATTATTTATCTGTTGTTCTCTCAGGAAAATATCCTCCCACACAGAGAAGGTGCTGTGACTGCAGCAGGTTAGGACATTCCCCTGAAATTCCTGCTGGATTGACAGGTCAAGCTCATGACAATGAATGGGGAGAGGATGTTTGCATCAGAGGCCTGCCCATAAGGAAGGGAATTTGGCAAAGGATGGCTTTTGTATTTTGATGGTGTTCTTTGTCTAAGTAATGGAATACAGACATCTCGAGTGTAGGGATGTCAGCACAGAGTGGGACTCACCTCATGTAATCTGAGAGGTGTCAAGCAGAGCTTGTCCCTCTGGGAATCCTTCTGGTCATCAGAGAGAAGTGAGCACTTCTGTAGTGTAATTGCCTTCATCTGCCTGGTGGCAGCTGTGCCCTGGACGTGTGTATTCCTCTTGTCTTGACTGCACAGGGAGTGCTGAGAACCAACTCTTAACAGGGCAAATTCTGCTTAGCCAAAACCAGAGCTGCTGGGACTTCAAGTCCCTTAGATAGGGGGAGATAGGAGGGACTTCCTACAACTGTTATTAAAATGCATAAAAAAGCAGTGAAATGTAAAACCAGGAGCTCCTAGACTCCTGGGGTGTGATGAAACGTTCATGGCTTGTTTTTACCAGCAACCTCTGGCCAGGGTGACCTTGGTTTTTCTAACAGATCATTGGGGTCAACATGATGCTGAATGACCAGTGTCTGTAGGAGGCAGGTTTATTTTAAAACAACGTGGTTGCAGTGGAAAGGATGTTTGCAGACATTTTGGTTGTTTTCTATAAAAGTATAGAAATGTCAAGAAGAAAAAATCTAAGGAGAAGACAGAAGGAAAGAGAAGGAAAGGACAAGAATAGATAGTGGAGAGGAAGGAGATCACCACCCATGGATCTGGCAACGAGACCTCCAATTTTGGTGTCCGTAGCCTTGATCCTTTGGGGGTGGGGGCCAGAGACACAGAGAGTTGGATGGGTTCTATTCA